GAAGTGAAGAATATGTAATGGTTATAGTAGTAGAATGTGGTGTCGACAATCCAAGTTCAAATTCCGGTAGGTGGTAGCACTTGTTAGGGTCCCAGCTATGGGTAAATAGTTAACCCCCAAACTATGGTCAAAATACTATGAAAGTGTAAAAATAGGTTTTAATACTAGAAATACTTTTCGTCCGGGGTATGATGATAAACTGCATTTGCATCCTGGATAAGATGATAAACTACGTCCAGCAGCAAGGCCTCTAATCAGGAGGTTTTGAGGAGCGTGGAACCACCTCTTATTTTCTGGTGTTCCCAGGTCCACCCTGACCTGGGGTGGTAGCACCTGTTAGGGGCCCAGCTATGGGCAAATAGTTAACACCCAAACTTGTGTAAAAATAGGTTTGAATACCAGAAATAATTTGTGATAAAAAAAATTATTACAAGCCATAATTTTTGAAGGAAAAATTATTATCAACAATATTTAAAAAAAAAAATACCAGCAGTACAAACGACTATACATTCTTTAGAAAAAATATGACCAGCTATAAATTTCTTCAAGGAAAAATATTCCCAGAAATAGATTTTTGAAGAAAAACATTACCAGCAATAAAAAATTTTGTTGGCATTAAATAACCCATTGAGGTTGCTATGCCATAAAACAAAAGAAACCAAACCAAAAATACTTTGAAAAATATTATTACCAGCAAAAAAAAAAAAAATATTACCAGCAATAAAAATTGTCAGCATTCAATAACACATTGAGTTTGATATGCTGTAAACCAAACCAAACCAAACCAAACCAAACCAAAACCCGGGCTAGTCTGTTGCATTCATTTTCATGCAAATGCCCTTGAATTCATCTCTTCTCACTCCAATTCTGCAGGGTAGATTAGACTCTCTGGTTTTGGTTAGCAATCAGTCTAAGAGAAGGAAAACTCAGAATTCAAAACTATGGAGAAGACAACAGGAAACCACTCAACTACCTTTCCAAAAAAGTTATGACAGTAAAATAATAAAAGAGATCCTTAGGAAGAAATGTCTGGAGAATCAGGATCGCCTACATCTTGAAGGGTTTTGGCATTAAAACAGAAAATAGAAATATTATGGAAATGTATTTTAATATTATGTTATGTTTCCTTACCAATGTAATAAAAGCCAATCTAAATTTATGAACATTTTCTTCACATTAAAACAATGTCATATGACAGGCAACATTTTAGTCAATTTATAATGTTTTATTTTGTCGCTCTTTACCACCTCTCTTTTTTCTCATGCTCCCTCTCTCTCTCTCTCTCTGTTTTCTCATACTCCCTCTCTCTCTCTGTTTTCTCATGCTCCCCCTCTCTCTCTGTTTTCTCATGCTCCCTCTCTCTCTCTGTTTTCTCATGCTCCCTCTCTCTCTCTGTTTTCTCATGCTCCCTCTCTCTCTCTGTTTCTCATGCTCCCTCTCTCTCTGTTTTCTCATGCTCCCTCTCTCTCTCTGTTTTCTCATGCTCCCTCTCTCTCTCTGTTTTCTCATGCTCCCCCTCTCTCTCTCTGTTTTCTCATGCCCCTCTCTCTCTCTGTTTTCTCATGCTCCCTCTCTCTCTCTGTTTTCTCATGCTCCCTCTCTCTCTCTGTTTTCTCATGCTCCCTCTCTCTCTCTGTTTTCTCATGCTCCCTCTCTCTCTCTGTTTTCTCATGCTCCCTCTCTCTCTGTTTTCTCATGCTCCCCTCTCTCTCTCTGTTTTCTCATGCTCCCTCTCTCTCTCTGTTTTCTCATGCTCCCTCTCTCTCTCTGTTTTCATGCTCTTGCACTATCCCTCTGCTTCCTCGCTCTGTCTCTCTGCATCCTCGCTCTCTTTGCATCCTCGCTCTCTCTGCATTCTCACTCTCTCTGCATCCTCACTCTGTCTCTCTGCATCCCTCTGCTTTCTCGCTCCATCTCTTTGCTTTCTTGTTCCATCTCTCTGCATCTCTCCACTTTCTCGCTCTGTCTCTCAGCATCTTCACTCTATCGCTCTTTCTCTGTTTCCCTCCTCCTCTCTGTTCCCTACTTGTTTGCCCCTGATTTTGTTCCTATTCCCCCCTGCTTTTCTTCCTCTGTTTTCCTCCTCCTCTTTGTTCCCCACTTCTCTTTGTCCCCTATCTGTTAACCCCCCCACCCCCACTGCTCTCTCTTCCCTATCCATTGTCTCCCTTTTTGTCCCTCCATGCCTATTTCTCTTTCATCCTATAGATTTCATTGAAACACAAAAATTGTGAATTCTTAGACATTATTTGACCTATTTTTCTTCCGTCCACTCAATACATGAGTCCAAATGATAGACATTTTCAAGTGCAAATTTGTCTGAAATGAAATTCCATACACTACTAGCAATCATCAATCATGACCTTTCAAATGCACTTTGTTTTCATTCTTTTTTCACTTGGCATTCTTCTTCTTCTTCTTCTCCATTTGTAAATTCCCTGCATCCAGCCTTTCTAAATTTTTCCTTCTAAACTATTTTTCTCACTTTGAATCTTTTCTTCATCCTTCCATTTTTTCTTTATTTTCTTTCCAGTTTTCATTTAGCTTATTCTTTTTCATTTAGCATATTTTTCCTTTTTTGTTTTTTCTCTTTTTTATTTTTCCTATTTCTCTTTTTCGTTTTCCTTTTTCCCCTTTTCGCTTTCCTTTTTCCCCTTTTCGCTTTCCTTTTTCCCTTTCCTATTTCTCTTTTCATTTTCTGTATTTTCTTTTCATTTTGTCCTCTATTTTTTTTGCTTTTCCCCCTTTTCCTTTTTTGTTTTTGTTTTTGTTTTCTTTTTCTCTCCTTTCTCTCTCTCTCTCTTCTCATTGCTTCAAACAAATATTTCTGGAAAGGTCACTTACAGTCTTTGCAAATATTTCACCATCCTTTGATCTGTGCATGCCATCTCCAAATATGTACTCAGCTGGTGACACAATACTCTTTTTATTGATGTAACACAACTACCTTAGCCAGCTGACCATAGATACTGGTTAGCCATTCCCTAACTTACATGTCATGAAAACGAGTTATATCAAAATGGTCAGACTTACAGGAAATCCCTATTTTAATTTAAGAGCAGAATATGGCCTTCATAACAGATATAAATTACTTTTTCCCATTTAATTTGAGAAGGGTCAAATAAAAATTAGTAACAGAAGATGGAAAGTGCAGTACTGAAATGTAAAGGTGCACTGGAATAGTAGAAGATGCCTTCCAAAAGCTAAGTAAAGTATTAAGAAGCACAAATATTTCTTAGGAACAAAGAAAAGACTGAACTATTATGTAATATGAGTTCTCCTATATAGCAGTGAATGTTGGACAATTTCCTCACAAATAAACAACAGATTTGAAAGAAAAGAAAATTGGTTCAGCAGAAGGATGGCGAGGATACCATGGATGGAACATGTGAGCAACAACAAAATTTTGGAGAAAATGGAAACAAAAAGGAAGCTTATACTTAACATTAAGAAGAGAGAGTTCAAATTTCTAGGGCAAATAAAAAGAAAAAAGTTTCGCACAAAGCAAGGCGGGAATGCTATGAGGACACAAGGTTTTAAAGTGCGAGAAAAGACTGAGTATAGGGAGGATTGAGGAAAGGACAAAATATGAATGGGATTAAACAAGATGAAAAAAAAAAAGATTCAAAATGTTGATTGATATTGCATTTAAATTTTTGAAGATTGTATTTAACAGGGTAGCAAGTAAACAGAAAGGAGTTCCACAGGTAGGACGTGTGAGAAAAGTAACTGTTAGAGTAAAAGTGTTGGTTGCATTTATTTATTTCAACAGTAAGAGGGTGGGACCTAAATGCCAATCTAGTAGCACACTTAAATTCCTGTAGTTGGGACACTAGGGAAACAAGCATGTCAGAGCAGTTGCCATGATTTGGTTTGGTTTGTTTTATGGCATATCAACACCTCAATGGGTTATTTAATGCCGACAAAATTTTTATTGCTGGTAATATTTTTTCCTTCAAAAACCTATTTCTGGTAATACTTTTTTATCAAAAATTGTATAGTTGGTAATATTTTTTTTTCAAAAATGTAATGCTGGTAATAATCTCTTCAAAAATCCATTGTTGGCAATAATTCTTTACAAAGTGTTTCTGTTATTAAAACCTATTTTTAAATTTTCACAGTGTTTTGATCCCAGTTTAGGGGTTAACTATTTTCCCATAGCTGGGACCCTAACAGGTGCTACCACTCCAGGTCAGGGTTGACCTGGGAACACCAGCAATTAAAAGGTGGTTCCACACTCCTCAAAACCTCCTGATCAGAGTCCTTGCTGTTGGATGTAGTTTATCATCTTACCCAAGACGCCCAGCTACCATGAAAATATTTGTAGGGAAGAGAGAAGCCATGTTGGTGAGAAAGTGTTTGAAGTCGAGATCGATTACATTACAGATCCTTCTTTAGATTTTGTCAAGAACCCTGAGATGAATAGCAGGAGCACCAGACTAGATATGGCAAAAGTATCCAATGCATGGATGATGCTCACAGGCCAGATTCAAAGACAGAGGAAAACAATGCATAATCTATTTAGTGAGCTTGAATAAATGGATGGGTGGGGGCAAGGCTTAGGGGAGATAATGAAAAGATGAAATTTATTAAGAGTTACAAAGGACAGGAAATTGTGGAGGTCCATGATCGCCAATGTCCTGAAGGGACACTGTACATAAAAGAAGTAGTTTTAGAGTATGAGACTCAAGTCCTTGATATATTCAATGCCTTAAAATTCTCTAAATTTATCATTTTCTTTAAAAAGCAGAAGCATTCCACAGTTATCAAGTCTTTCCTGTCAAATAGGTCTATGAAGGTTGTCATTAATGACCAATCCTCTAAGTCATATGAGATCAATGCTGACATCCCTCAAGCCTCACTCCTCAATACTATCCTCTTTGTACTTTATATCAATAATACCACAGTGTATGGGTTCACCTCCAAATAGTTTGATGGCCAGTGCTTGGTATCGGATCTCTTCTCTGACACAACTCAGTGGTGGCTTCTGACTACATCACATTGAAACACTAGTTCCTATACAATCACCAAAGTTAAGCAATATTGAGATTGGTCAGTACTTATATGAGTGACCGCTTAGGAATACCAGGTGCTGTAAGCTTGGATGTGCAGGTAGTGTAATGGATAACAGCTCAGAATTGTTAATTGGAGAGCCAAGTTTCAATTCCAGTTGGGTTTGTTATATTCACTTGAGGGCAAATACACTTGGGAAAGGCATGAATCCACTTCTCCCCCAGCTATGGGTTAATTATTAAGACTTGTTTCAGTAAATCATTAAATCTTGAAAAAAAATATTACAATCTAAAAACATTTTCTAGCTTTAAATAACCTGCAGTGGGTTGATGACCTGAGAGAATGAATCCGTCAGTCATGAATTATTGATTAGCTACACAGGCATATGCCTTTTAGATTTACTTACACTCTCAGGAAAATGAATGTATAGAAAATACCGTGTCCACAAAGTGAGGGATCAGTTTATGTATTGATTGTTATATAGAACTGATCCATAACTTTATATTGACATAATTTCTTATCAAATTTGATTAGGTACCTATTTTCCTCTCCCGCTATGGGTTGATTAGTAAGACTTGTATCACTAAACCATTATTATCTCCAAAAAAAATTCTTACAATCTAAAAATATTTTCTGGCTTTAAATAACTTGCAAATGATTGATAAATTTATAATCAACCTTTTACATTATTATTTTGGATTATTTTTTGTTACTAAATGCTCACCCAGAATAAGGCCCAAGTGCCATTGAAGGTAGAGGGTTGTTGAATGAGGTTGTTTTATAGACATAAGAGGATAAAGTAAGTGCAGATTATGAGTATATGTAGGATAGATAATGGTTGACTCTAGACATAAAGAGATTATGTTTGTAGTTTTCAGAAAAGCATCTCCTTGGGAGCCTACTCCATAAAGTATCCATTCTTGGGAAGAAGCTGCCTGCGTGGAATTTTCTTCTTGCTAAAGGAATAAGATGGGAATAAATCACATTCGCAGGCTGTGTCCGAGTTGTAAAGGTCTAAACTGAGGAAACAAAGAAATGTCACTTATCTGGACGTTTACCATGGAAATAAAGAGCAAAGTGATTGGCTCTTGATGTATAATCTGTAGGAAAAAGGGGTTGTGGCATGAGGAAATGTTATCCCCCCCACAAAAAAAGGCAGAATAAAATTCTTTTGAGCTTTAAGCCTGGAACTCCGGGCCAGATATCAGCAATACTCAATTTCTGATTTGATCTGAATTGGGATCAAATACTGATTAAATAAATATCGAGAAGAATCTGACAGTATGTTAAGATAATATAAATAGGAAACGTTTATCAATCTAACATGTTTCCCTTTTATTAAAGCTTCTTCAGAAAATAAGATAAAAAAAAAAGAATTTCTGATAAAAACATTTTTACAATTTTATAAAAATTTATTATTTCCCATTTTATAAAAATTTATTATTAATCGTTTCAGAAAGATTTATTATCTCAGTCAATCATGTGCCAGGCATGATACACACTTAGGTAACCATCTTTCGATACATGGCTGACGAGGCAGATTTTTTCCCACAGTAGGTGGCCATTTCTTTCTATGGTAGACCGGTTGTCATCCAATGCTATAGAACCTGGTCTGTCTTGCTATTTACCCGTAGCTGCAGGGGTGGGTGGTGAGAAGAAGAGGATTCACACCCTTTCCTAGGGTGTTAGCACGTAAATGAATGTAATGGATTTGACTGGAATTTGAACTCTGCTCTCAGATTCCTCAATCCGAGCCACTATCCATTACTCCACCATACCATTTTATAAAGATTTATTATTTACCATTTCATAAAGAAATAAATTTGAAAAGAAATCTTTTAACTTGAAATTTTTAATAAAAATTGCCAAATTATCAAAATATGTGAGAAGAACACGTTTATTTATTTTTTTTTTAATCTATAATTGCGGTTACTTGTTTATTTTGTATTTCACAAATATTTTTATACATGTATTTTTTTTTTTTTTTTAAATCTGTATCACAACATGCAAAGCAGTAAAGCCACTAGGACACAAAGGGTGTAGAAGGGTTAGGAAGATAAGCATTAATAATGAGCATGAAGAGAAAAGAGTAATCATGTGGACAGTAGATAGCGCCATTGACATTCCATTTAAATTTTTGCAGATTAAAGATGGCTGGAAATCATGGAGCCAGAAGGGAGTTCCACAAGTGCATAATGAATAAAATTTATTTTTATATTTATTTCTTTTATCAAATAGTAAATAATAAATTTTTCATTATAGTTGGTTCATGTATTTTTATGATCTTTCAAGCAAAATTAGTTACGTAAATAAACAATTTAATAAATAGTGTTTAATGTCTTCGTCAATTCTCAAGAAGAAAGAAAATCTATAAATCAACTCTGATATATTTGCGTTTTGTTAAAATTTTAATTATCACATTTTAAAACAATAGACATTGCTGAGGGAGTCAAAATTGCATACAGTAATAGTGGTGTCAAGGGAAATAACTCTGTTTTTGATGACCCAAAGGTTAAATATTACCTAGTTGAGATCTGAGGTGAAATTGTGTCCTAATAGAAATTCATGGCAAGGAATGAAAAAAAAAAGTTTCCTGTTTAACTTAACATAATTTAAGATAGATTTGGGACTGTTTCAAAACCCCTTGTCTTGTAATTAACAATATAGTCATTAGAATTGTTTAATTAGCAACCTCCTCAAAATATGGATTCTTTTATTTATATTCTTATTTTCATGCCTTTATTTAAGTGTAATTATTTGGTGTTAAAATAAAAAAGATCCATCTTCTTTGCTATACAGTTTTATTTAAATTAACATAACTTTATCTTTTTAAAGCTGTCTGTTATTGTCTGATTTGATAAAAGCAGTTTTTCTTAAACTCTTAAGAGAACATGCTATTTACTCCCCCTTCCCCTTCACCCACTAATTCTGTAAAGAATTTAACCTCCAGAAAATTATACTATTGCAGTTAATGGGTTAAGCTCTTATGCCTATAGAACATAGGATAATTAATTTTGGGAGTAACAATTCAGGCAATACAAATTTAAATAATTTGCAGATTTAAGTCCCTTGGGAGTCAACTTCAAGATTATTTTTAATGTCCTTCAAGAAGTTATATAATTGAGTACTGATTGCCTACAGGATATATATATATATATATATATATATGCTTCAATTATTTTGTTTTGTCTCCATCAGCTCAGTTCTTCCTGCAGTGGAAAAGAAAATTACAATGCTTTTGATTTAACAGGTATAACATAGCTGAGGAAAATTAAACTATATTTGTTGCAAGTTTATTTGCAATTGGAAGTGATTTTTAGCTAAGATTTGCTTCCTTTCACAAAGTGTTTTAAAATAAGAAAGTTAAGACAATCTAGGTTATTATTAGGTATTTTTTTTTTTAAATTTGGTTTTCAGGAACAATTTTGCTAAAACTGAGGGAGATATGAATAAAAAAAAAAAAAAAAAAAAGTCGGTGTCAAATTATATTTTTAAGACTGCAAGTTAGAAGGGTTAAAAGGAAAGCTGACGAAACCCAGAATAGTGAGGTTCTTTTAAAATTTGGTGATCTCTTTTGGGGAACAATTTTACTAAAAGAGGAGGATATTCAAAAGTGAGGTAAAAGAAGATGTGGAACTATAGGATAGTGGGGATAGAGAAAGTTGAAAGATAGTGACTCAGTAAGGGAGGGGAACTTATACTGGACTTATAACCCAGAGAAAGATGAGGGTGAAAGATAATGGCTCAATAAGGGTGGGGGAATTGCTACTGAACTAACAAAAGAAAGAGAGAATTGTGAGCTAAAAGGTAACCCAAAGTGAGTGAGTGAGGGTGAAAGATGGTTATTTAATAAGTGAGTGGGCATTGATGCTGGAATAACAACAGAAAGAGAGAGTGAGCTCAAAGGTAGCCCAAAGAAAGTGAGGGTGAAAGATAGTTATTTAATAAGGGGGTGGGTATTGATGCTGGAATAACAACAGAGAGAGATAGTGAGCTAAAAGGTAACCCAAAGTGAGAGAGTGTGGGTGAAAGGGATTTAACAAGGGAGGGGGAATGATGGAGATTGTTATCTGAAGCCTTCTAATGATTTAGGCCCTTGTCACAATCTCTGCCATGATGACAGTTTGAACTGCTGCAGATGTTGTTCACAATCGTTATGGTAACACTGTCACTACGCTGGTGGTGCTTGTTATTAAAAAGGAGGCCCACTATTTCCTTGGTCTCTATGGTGACAGCACTTTCAGAATGTCTCAGGTGATAAATAGGAAGAACAAGTATTGCAAAAGTCAGGTGTTGCTTTTGTGTATTGCAATATGTGATATTCTAGAATGGCATAAGACATTCTAGAATGCTTCATTTTATAGATGCTATAGGAAACGGCTGTTGCAGAATTTAATTTCTATAAAAATTTCTTGATTGTTCTAATAAAATAGAAGTGCTGTATATTTTTGTACAAATGATGTTCTAGAATTAAAAGTTACTATGAGAAATTGATATTAAAAAACCTAATTTCTAATCTTGTAGATTTTTTGTCTAGTAGTGATCAAAAGTTCTTGTAACTCATTCCATTAAAAATAACTTACAAATTTACAAGTATTTTTCAGAGCAAATGTTGTTTTTGTGGTCTATATTTAATATATTGCCTCATTAAGCACAAAAAGAAGAAAAAAAAAATTGATAGCTTATTTAAATTGATGATTTTAAATGTCTGACTGCTAAGTATCCATAATTTAAGCTATATTTTTCTTTTCATTGAAGTTGAAAAGGAAGTAAGTTTATTATATTTAGTCTACAACAAAAAAGTGCATTTCAACCATAATTTAAAAAAAAAAAAATCATATAAATATATAAACAAATTCTTGCATATATATATATATATATATATATATATATATATATATATATATATAGGCAAGAATTTGTTTATTCGCTGTATACAGCCAAGCCCTTTTGTGTGCTGTCCCTAAATTTGTTATTCATATTTAATGGACACAGGGGAAAGTTTTAACATTAAGAAGCTTTTGTCCATCAAGGGGAATAGAGATCTTTACCACTTTTTCTATTATTAAGGAATATCTTTTATAGT